CTGCCCGGAGCCCTGGGCACCCGTGACCAGGCTCTCACCGTGCTGAGGGCCAGGCAGGCCGTGGGCACTCAGGCACATTGTTTGCTGAAACCGAATTTCTGTGCTTGTGTTTTTCCATAATTATATTAGCAGGTGGGATTTTTCCTCAGGGAAGCGATGGGAGGGGGAGCGCCATGGCAGTGTCCCCACCCGCTCTGAGCGTGAGCTCACACTCAGCTCTGCCCGCCTGCCGTAATGATTTTTTAATTATGCAGCCAGTGCTCGGAATTGCTAATCCGCCTCCAGCCCAGCATCCCCTCCTGCAGCTCACACCCCAACCCCTCACTAGTGTCCCCACAGTGGTGATGCCCAGCCTGGCACCCATTGCTGTGCCTGAGACCACCACCACAGTGGCAGAGAGGGGAGGCCAGGGAGGGCCACAAGGGCACCTCTCCTCCATCTCCAAGTGACCGAACTTGGTTGGGTTGGGGGAGCTTGTGGCTTGCGCCCGCCAGGACAACTGTGGCTCTGAAAGGGGGCAGGGGAGTAATCAGTGACCCCAAGGACACACACACACAAGTCTGATCTTTGTCTCTGTCACACCCATATTCACACTTTGCTTCTCTTACCACACACTCAGCGTCACAGCTCCACAAGCACAATAGCACGCTCTGTGTGTTTCTCACACACGTTGCCACACCTGAGAGCCAGGTTGCCCTCAGGAGACCCCATTGCTGCCTCCCATGCCCTGCAGTAGTCCTGACCCCACTCTCTTGCCTCACACCCTCCCATCCCACCCCCACTGCCTAACTGGGATGCACTCTGAGGGCTCCCTCTCCCACCTGGTGGGGTGGCTGCCTGTGGCTGGGGCCTGCCTGAACCTCCATCGACCCGGCCTGGGAGGGGGGTGTGTTCTGCAGCACTGTGGCGGCGGCTCCTCTCCAGGCGCCCAGCTGTGGCATCTGTCAAGGTCAGATAGCGACTCGGGAACCAGCCGGCTCGGCCCCATGGCCCCTCTCGCCTCATTATTTTTGTGTTCCGGGGCTGCGGCGACACTTCCCTCCCTCCTCAGCCTCCTGCCTCTTGCCTGCCTCCCCCACACCTCTGCAGGGAGGGCCTGTGGTCTGGGGGCTTTTGTTTTCCAGTTTTTTCCACGCCCAGGCCAGGCAGGAGGGTAGATGCTGGCCAGAGCTGTTGGGTCTTGAACAGCAGAGAAGGCAGGTGCCTCCCTCGTGGTTGGGACAGGTTCTTGGCTAGCGGAATCCTGGATTGGTTTCTCAGGGGCACAAACTGAACCTGGGCGGAGCTGAGCCTTCACCACAGCCCAAGTGTACCTATGGGCTTCCTGTTTCCATAGGGGCCCCAAAACCTGGCATCAGTTCCTGCCTGCACCATCCCCATCCCAGGTGGGCCCCAGACTCACATCCCAGAACCCCTCAGGCTTGGATAAAATTCACAGTGAGCTCACATGTGCATACACACTGGCGTACATGTGGCGTACATCTTCACAGGCCAGAAGATCCCACAAACATCCAGCCACCATGTAAACCACTATACTTGTACACACGCACACATTTGGTCATACGCAGACATCCACAATGTGTATCGCACACACTCCACTTGTACACATGGGGAAGTCCCACAAAGACCTCCACTCCACTGGTGTATAAGCCCATGTGTACATCAGTGCTCAAACCCACAGAGAGTGACAATTGAGTCTGTACACACACACACACACACACACACACACACACTAGAACATACAGCATGCACAGGTGTCTAACACACCTCCCATCCCATGTGGACACATGCAGATGCACTTGTCCCTGGTGCCGCTCCTCACGATACATACTCCAACCTGAGCTCTTTCCCTGGGGCCCGGTGTTCCTTGAGCAGTAACAACATGCAAGGAGCTTTTGTCCTCTGAAATGCTGAAGTGAGCTTGAGGCCTCCCCTTTGATGCACACTGTGTCCAGGGAGCCCCTGGAAAATAGGAAATGGTGGTTGACAGATGGACTGCCCTCCCCACCTGGCCAGCCTCCATGGATGTCCACCACCCTGGGCCCAAGGGCACTGAGATGAAGTGGGATGGGCAGTTCCGGGAGGTCACGATGGGTTTGGTGGCTGCTGGCAGCGAGGGCAGGCTATGGGTGGTGGCCTCTCAGGCATTGTCTCTGAGTCCCTCTGCCTACCTTCAAGCCCCTCAGGGTCTCTGGGGTAGCCCTGGCCATCTACTCAGTTCCTCCTCCAGCTGTGGACTGCTGTGACCGCCCCTGAGAGGGGGAGGTAGCTGGAGGTTTAGCAGTGGCGGGGCCCCCACCCCCCAGGAAACTCAAAACCCTGGGCCAGCCGCGGGTGGCGGGTTGGGGCAGGCACAAAGAGGGCCTCTGTGCAGCCCGGCTGGGCTGCCCACAGGATTCTGGGGGAGGAGGCAGGAGCCGGTTTCCGTCCCATTCTGCTTCCTGCGGAGGCCGCCGGAATGCCCGGAGCTCTGGCCCAGCCTGGCCCGTCCGGCCCACCCGCAGCCCCTTCCCTTGTCTTTTCCTGGGCCTTAGGGTACAGCTGCAGACTTCTCTGCAACAGTATCCCCAGAGCCTGAGAACCACGCCCCAGGACCCACGGGAAACCTAGGAGGTTCCCCAAGGCTGAGAGCTGAACTGGACCTGATCCTCCAGCCAAAATCCCTCCCTCCATGTGCCTCAGAGCCCTTGGCCGGTGTTGGAGAGCCAGGCTCTGGAGTCACAGAGACCTGGTTTCAAATCCTGACTCTGCCACCTATTGACCTTGTGACCTTGTATAGTTGACTTTACTTCCCTGAGCCTCATCCATTGGTGCTACTGCTAGTAAACAGTTACAGAGATCTCAGCGAGAAGATGCATGTGAAATGCTTAGCACAATACCTAACAGAGAGTGAGTGCTCATTATTAGGGTCTGCTATTATCATGTCCTCTGGGGAGACAGGAATGGGAGGGGATTGGATGTTCTTGGCTCCAGTAAGCCTCACATCATCTGGGGCTTGTGCCGAACCCTGTGGCCTGCCCAAAACCCTTCGTTCCAGGCCTCACTTTACCAATCTGAAAGTCACAGTGGGCTGATTAGGCCCCTGGGGCCTTCCTCCTGGGATTTAGAGGGTGGGAGGGGGTCACTCTCTGGAGCCTATTTTCTGTGTCTCTCTACCTCCTTCCCCATGGGCCCCTCTGGGCTTATGACTCCAGCAGTTTGGGGTGAGGAGCAAGAACTGTTCTCCATTTTACGGATAGGAACAGAGCCTCTGTGTGGGGGAAGGTGTCAAAGTCAACAAGAGGGGACAGGGTGGAGCCACAAGCCTGACCTTTGGACTCCAGTCCCCCGACCAGTCCTATTGATACTTGCACTGCCTCCCCACCCCATTCCTTGGCCCCAGGTATCTCTGAGCTGGCCTTTTCTGGCTTGCCCTGGTGAAGCCCACCAGGAGGGAAGTCTTAAGTGTGTAGGCTCTGACCCCAGGTTGTTGTCAGCTCAAATGTCACCACTTAAGTCTAAGATCGGGGGGGCTCCCAAACACAGAGGCCATCATTTTCTCCGGATCACAACTGCTTATCAAATTGCCTGCTCTAAATGGGGCAGTAATAGTACTTCAGAAGGTGGGTGTGAGGATTCAATGAGACAAGGCGTGTACAGTGTCTAGCACATAGGAAGGCCTCCATACATGTTAGCTGTTATTCTCATGGTGCCATGTTGCAGCTGGGGAGACTGGCTCAGAGGCCATATGCCAAGGTCACACAGCAAGGAAGGGCCCTCCTGATCCTTTGACTTTTCCAAGGAAGGAACCTGGCCCAAAGGAAGTACCTGTTGAGGAAGGCCTTATCTTTATTTGAGGTATACCAGGCTCTGTATCTCATTCCCTGGATCCCCAGGTCAGGGCATAGCTCCTGCCTGAGGCCTCAGTGTTCTTGTCTGTGAAATGGGCTGATCCCCTCCTCTAGGTGCTTTCGGGAGCTCAGTAAGGATGAACAGAGTCCCCTGTATTTCTGGGTTTTCTCAGCAGCATGCTTCTGTCCTCAGACGAGGGGGCTGAGCCTGCCCTGAGAAGAGGGGCATAAGAGGTCAGAGGGTGTGGAGTCAGGGAAAGAGGATTGCAGACCCACAGCCCAATTCAGTCCTTGGCAGTCAGTTTTGGGGTGTTACTCTTAAAGAGACCCTAGTGGTATTGAGGGCATGTCCCACCCCAGGCCATCTGCTGGGTGCTAACAGTGGTCAATGTGTCCTTGTATGTGTGTGTCCATCCATAGCTGGATATGTGCCCTGTGCTCTCCAGCAGGACCTGCATTTCTCCTAGCCTCCAAGACCAGTGTCCCCGTGTGTGTCTTCTTGGGCCTGAGTGGGGCTTTTTTTCCCTTTGGAAACTCCCCAGGCTGAATCATGGAAATCAGAGATGGAAACCCCCCCAACACACACACCCAATTGCTCAGCTCAGTTCAACCACCGTAGCCTGTGGTCTCCCCTCCCTGTCACCACTGGCCAGCCCACCATCAGTCAGTCTGTCCATCTTGCCTCCCTTGGAGTCTAAGGAGACCAGCCCATCAAGATGGGTGGAGGGGTATGAGGGGGTATAGCAGGGATGGCAGGAATGTGCATGGAAGTGTGGGGAAGGGTGCGATGAGCTAGGGTGTGCAAGTCTGCAACCCTGCCTGGTTAGACAATGCAGGCTCTGCTGTGCGGGGGCCTTGGGGCCTGAAGGCCCTGACGAAATGCTGCCTCCTCCAGGATGGCAGGCGGGATGACTGAGAGGCTGCTGCAGCGGAGTAGGAGGGGGGGTGGTGCCTTGCTCAAACTCTGTCCTTGATTTATTGGTGATGGTTGCACAGTTCTGTAAATTTACTACAAATTAGTGAAATCTACACTGAGAAATGGATGAATTTTATAGTATGTAAACTATACCTCAATAAAGCTTTTTTAAAAAAATCCTGCATTTGGCCTCAAGGTCCTGCCAACCTCATAGCCACACCTCGCACCCATTTCCCCATTTCTTAGGAACACTTTCAGACTTGTGTCCCCCTTGGTAATCTCTCTTCATCCTAAACTCACAGGCTAAGCAGCCCCTTCCTCCAGGAAGGCCCCCATGACCCACTTGGTCCCTTTCCTGCTCTCTCGTTTCACATTGGTTGGTGTAACCATCGGCCCAGCTCATGTGTACTCCTCCAGGGCAGTGCTGGGTCTGTATCCTCCGCTGTCTCCCCAGGACCACAGAGCAGGGGTCCGCTATTGAGTAGGCAGTGCAGGCTGTGTGCAACCTAACATCTAGAACATCTCACCATGGGCCACTTGTGTGCATGTCTCATGCAGACAGTAGGGTCCCACCCCACAGTGCCCGCCTGCCTCCACCCCATTGCTGTGTAGCCTGAAGGCTCAGGACAGAGCCCTGCTGGGGATGAATCCTGGCTCCCCTGGCACTGAGGGAGGAGTGAGGGCACTGCCATCACCTCTGGTGACCTCATTGCCAGCTGGCATTATGATGTCATTGGCCCTGCATTCCGGGTTCCTGCCTGGGTTTCTCCAAGTCCCCCAGGTGGGGACACTCCCTGGGGTCTGTGACAGCTCACCCCCCTGACCACTAAAGGTGATGATGGCATGGTAATAACCCCGGGGGTGTGGGGGTGGGGGCAGCCTCAGGGTAGCTGGGCCACATTACCCTGGGCTAATCTGTCAGTTGCCCATGTAGAACAAAGGCGGTCAGAGTAGGGTGACTAACACTTGGGCTCTGGGTTCAAGCTCTACCCCTGCTGGGCACCTGCTGCTTAACCTTGGCTTCACAGCTTGAACCTCACTGAGCCTCAATTTCCTCATCTCTGAAATTGGTTAATAGTTCCTATTTCCCTAATTACTAGGAGGAGTCAAGGAGGGAGAAAAGACATGTAAAGCCTAGAGTACAGGGCCTTGGACACAGTAGGTGCTCAACAAATGCTAGCTGATAGGGCTGGATAGTTAAGGGAGCCTGAGTGTTGCTTGGTGAGAGCTGGCTAGGGAGGGGCAGGGTCCATGCTTTCTGGGACTGGCCAGGACCTGGGATTAGAGGCAGGGGTGGCCCCACTGTCAGGAAAGGGCTCCAGCTTTGACTGTCCCTCGCTTCCCAGTTGAGCGAGTAAACTTGAGCTCACAGGAGGTGGGGCCCCACAGCCCAGCCCTGAGGCCAGGAACCCACTGACCCCTCTTCCCAGGCCTTGGGCTGGAGTGGGCTGGGGCTCCAAACAAGGTGGGTCTCGTCTGGTCTACCCCTGCCTTTGCCTCTGCCTCCCTCTCCCATGGGCAGGTCCAGCTCGCTGCCTTCTCTTGGTCCCCAGGTCTGGACTCTCCTCAGAGCTCTGTTTCCTTGTCTCTTAGACCCTCAAGTCTCAGAGATGGGTTAGGGGCCCTGAGTCTCTGAGCCCAGTCACCCCAGTCTGTGCTCCCCATGATGCTCTGTTCTCTAACCTTGACCCTTTGCCCTGTCCTCTCCCAGTCCCCTTTTCTCTGACCCACTCCTGGAGTCCTCTGTCTCATAATCCTCTATCCCTACCACCTGTCTCTATTCTTCTGGCCCCATGTCCCCCTCTGCCCCCCAGCTCTCCATGACTGGTTCTCCCCTCACCCCCCCCCGCCCCCGCCCCCTGAGCTCTGTCCCCGCCCATCAGCCCCTGGTCCCAGCTCCCGGCCGGCCCGGCTCCTGCATGGACAAAGGGGTCCTTTGTGGGCTGACCGCGGCTGGCGGGGCGGCGGGGCGCTGGCTCCGCATTGCTGATGAAACGGAGCCCTTTGTTGTCCCTCCTCAGGCGCAGTATTTCTTTTTGGGGGCTGGATGCGTTCCTGGCAGGGCCGATGATGGATGCGCCCGCCGCCGCCCGCTCGCCCGCCAGCTTTCCCTCCCGCTCATTCCCGCTCCGCTTCAACGCAGCCCCAGCTCCTCCCCTGCCGCCTGGGCACTGCCAGGCCCTTTCTGGCCTGGGAGGGGTTGCTGTATGCCCTAAAGTAGAAGGCTGGGGCCTGGGAGAAGGTCTTCTCTTATGTCTTCCCCTTCCATGAGTAGAGCACACAGGCCCTGTGGTCATGGTCCACTGGGACCAAGGCATCAGCCTTTCCCTGGGTCTGAAAGAGAAGAGGAGCCAGGTACAAGGGCAGATTTGGAACAGGCTTGGTTGAGGACCAGGCTTTGGGCCTGGATGTTGGTTTCTGCCCACTCTAAGATTTGAGGACAGAGTTACCTTGTGTACTAGTCCCCCTTGTGTACCCCCCACCTTCAGTTTCTGTGGCTGACAAACCAGTGTTCTGCCTGCAGCACCTGTTCAATGACATATCACGTCCTCTGGTCCTGAGCTCAGCATGTCCTGGGACCTGGTGGTCTGGGGGCCGGTAGTCCCCGAGGAAGGACAGCAAAATGAAAGATCAGAGAGATTCAAAGAGGAGGGCCAGAGATAAAGAGAACATGAGGTTTGGTCCCCAGCAAGAGAGACTCAGGTTGGAGACAAAAGCAGAGAGACTGAGCCACAGCACCAGCCCTGAACACAGGCAGGCCTGGCTGTGTCGGAGGGAGCTGACTTCTAATTGACCTGCCCGCCCCACACGCAGAGCCAGATCCTGGAGCCTGGAGGAGGGAGGGAGGGAGTAGAGCAAGAGCAGCGTTAATGCAGCTATCGATTTCTGCCACCAGCCAGCAGGCCGCAGAGGCGGGGGACACACAGAGGGGCTAGGGCGCAGACTGCTCCCCTCCCCACCTCTCCAGCCCGCGGGCGCCTGCCTTCTCCTGTCTGCTCCCCTCACCCTGTGTCTAGGGCTGGTCGGGCTGTGGTCCAGGGCAGGGAGTTGAGCTCGGAGGGGCAAGGACTAGATGAGTTGACTTGGGATGATGATTTCCAGCCCTGATCTCACTGGCCCTGGTCCCCAGCACCTCATCAGGGCCACTGATGCCTGGAGGGGTCCTGATCTCTGAGGACAGAGGCCCAAGAGCCAGCCTGGGCTTACACCTTAGGAGGTAGAATGGAGCACAGCTTTCCTGGGGCATATGTGGCCCTCTTGCTCTTACTACAACTTTGACCTCCGTGATACCCCCATCCCATCCCTCCATCCTGGACACCCTGCCTGGCCCTCCTGGGTTTGTTCTGGTGGAATCTGCCAGCTTGCCCAGCTCTTCCTTACCACCATCTGCCTTCACTAGAAAGGCGCTTAGGTGGGCTAGTGCCTGCTTTGGAGGGGCAGGGATTGTCTGGCTGGCTACTGCTGTCTGCTGTTCACCTCATCCTGGAGATAGCGCATTTCCCTCGCCTGCACTCGCTCCTCCTCACGGCCACTCCTTAGCAGTCCTGGGCCAGGGGACTTGCCTGCACTGGACCTTGATTTCTCCTTCTGTAAGTGCACAGGGTTGGACTGATGACCTCCCAGGACAGCCGGAGTCCTGTGACTAGGGGATGGTGGGGTTGCCTGGGGACAAAGATGCAGTGTGTGCCGCCCCCAAGCCCAGGGCGGGACTGGCCCAGCCAGATGTGCGCCTCCCCCTCAAGTCGCCAGCTGCTCGGGCTGGGCCCTGTCCTCCCGCCCCTCTCCTGGGGGTTGCTGGCCTGCGGCAGGCAGACACTAGAGAGGCAGGGCTGATGAGGAAACTACCACTCCGCTCCATCTGGAACAGTTCCTTCCAGAGTTTCTGGCCAAGGAGCCTGGTTGCTCACATGCCTTAGTCTTGGGGCCTAAGCAGAGCAGGCTCTGTCCTAGGAAGGGGCTCCTCAGACACGTGGACGGAGCTAAAGAACAGGCTCCGTTTCCTGGAGGGTCATACCTGCTCTCAGTCCTCTCACACAAGCCAGAGGTCCCTCCTGCCCACAGTCCAGTCCTGCTCTCTAGGCTCTCACTGGGACCTCCATCCAGACCCGTCTGGGAGCTAGGTCAGAGCACAGCAGTGATGCCTGAGTCGAGACAAGAGTGGGTTCTGAGGTTTAAGGGAGAGAAGGGTGTGCCAGTGTGTGCACAGGCATGTCCCCCACTCCTCCCCTCTGGCACAGTGCTGCCTGCCCTCTAGCAGGAGGATACATGCTCCTTGAAGTAAGCATTCTGTGCTCTATTTGGCAAACTGTTAAACAAAGTCAGTTTCCTTTATCTGCAGGACTTGCCAGAGCCTTGAGATAATTGATGTGTATTAAGAATCTCAGACAGCATCCAGGGGCAGCTTCCCAGGCTTTTTAATCTACACCTCCCAGTCCTTCAGAGACTGTTCCCACCCCACTTCATAGTTGGGTCAGTGAACAATCAGGAAGCAGAGGGTGACTCTGTAACCCTCCAAGGTTAATCAAGCTCTCCAGCTCTCTCCTGCCCCCAGCACAGATTCTAGCAGGGCAGAGGGAGACCCAGCTGAGCCTCTGCCACACTACTTGATGGCTGTGTATCCATGGGCTAGTCCATTCTTCTCCCAAATCTTTTCTTCATCTATAAAACAGGTTATTACTAGCTACAGCTTTGTAGGGTTCTGTGAGTCTTAAGTGAGATCATACAAATTAGGAATTCCTAACTATGGTTGGCATTTCGTAAATGCCTAGCCAGGATGTGATATTGTGGTGATGACAGTGGTGGTGGTGGAGGGGGTGTCTGCTGCCCTGACCCTGTATCCTCTTGCCCTGACAGAGTGAAGACACTGCCACGTGGACACCTGACCATGTACCTGCCCTGAGCAGCAAGGCCTACCAGGTGTCTCTGTCGTGGGCAGCAGGGCCAAGTGCTCATCTGTGGACCCCCCGCAGTTGGCAGGCTCCCCCAACAGTGGGGTCTGGGCCTCGGCCCCACCATGTCGAGCCTCGGCAGTGGCCCCCAGGACACCGGCAGCAGTAGCAGCAGCAACACCGGTGGCAGCAGTGGCAGTGGCCCAAAGGCTGGAGTGGTAGACAAGAGTGCAGCGGCAGCTGCGGCTGTGCCCACCTCGGTGGCGGATGATGCACCACCCCCCGAGCGTCGGAACAAGAGCGGCATCATCAGCGAACCCCTCAACAAGAGCCTGCGCCGCTCCCGCCCTCTCTCCCACTACTCTTCCTTTGGGGGCAGTGGTGGCAGTGGTGGTGGCAGCATGATGGGCGGGGAGTCTACCGAAAAGGCTGCTGCGGCTGCAGCCGCTGCCTCCCTGTTGGCCAATGGGCATGACCTGGCAGCAGCCATGGCTGTGGACAAAAGCAACCCTACCTCAAAGCACAAAAGTGGTGCTGTGGCCAGCCTGCTGAGCAAGGCAGAGCGGGCCACGGAGCTGGCAGCCGAGGGACAGCTGACGCTGCAGCAGTTCGCGCAGTCCACGGAGATGCTGAAGCGCGTGGTGCAGGAGCACCTACCGCTGATGAGCGAAGCCGGCGCCGGCCTGCCCGACATGGAGGCTGTGGCGGGTGCTGAAGCCCTCAACGGCCAGTCCGACTTCCCCTACCTGGGCGCCTTCCCCATCAACCCAGGCCTCTTCATCATGACCCCAGCGGGCGTGTTCCTGGCTGAGAGTGCGCTGCACATGGCTGGCCTGGCCGAGTACCCCATGCAGGGAGAGCTGGCCTCCGCCATCAGCTCGGGCAAGAAGAAGCGGAAACGCTGCGGCATGTGTGCGCCCTGCCGGCGGCGCATCAACTGCGAGCAGTGCAGCAGTTGTAGGAACCGAAAGACTGGCCATCAGATTTGCAAATTCAGAAAATGTGAGGAACTCAAAAAGAAGCCTTCCGCTGCTCTGGAGGTAACGGCGCCTTAGAGGGAGGTGTGTGGGCTCTTGCGTCTGTCTGGCAGTCCAAACCCACTCCTACCCCTATTCCCACCTTTCCTGCCTGGGCAAGTGTCTGGGGGATGCCCAGCCCATCCCTGGGCTCTGGGGTTTTAGGGCAGGCTCCAAGACACTAGTTCACTGCCCCACAAGTCAGAGCCACATCCTGAGATAGATGCCCTCAGGTTGTTTTGAGCCTAGGCAAGCATGAAATTCCAGGCAGAGGCCTAGCCTTCTCTCCAGGCCTCGGGATTCTGAACCCCTCCTGGAGTTCTAGGTCAGGTATTGAGATTCCCACACAGGTCCTAAGTCTCTGACTTTCAGACATGTCCTAACGCTTCCAGTCCCTGACCCAAGATGCCGGGACTCTCCTCTGCACCATTTGAGGGGTTCTGTCTGGTGGACCCTGTGGCTTTGAGGGGTTAGCCCCTCATTTGTCCCTTCAGAGCCCACCCTTTACCCCTGAGGCCACCCAAGGATAGAGCAGCTCCAGTGCTGACTGCCCTGCTCTGAGGGCTGGAAGAACCCTAGCTCTAGGCACCTAGTTAACAAATTTGGGGTGCCTTGGGACCCTAAGGTCAGTCTGGCTGCATACTTAATAGCCAGGGGTCCTATGGGCCTGGAAATAGGGGGTGGCTTGAGCCTGGGGTATGGGCAAGCCCTGTCCACTATGGGATTGGCTTTGAGAAGGCAGAAGGGTTCCCATGCTGTTTTCTCGCCACCCTTGTGGCAGGGCCTGTCCCCATGCCCTCAGCCATGACACCTTTCTGTGGTGTCAGGCCCAGGGACAAAAGCATCTTTTCAGCCTGCTGACTGTGCCCTGTCCCCGCCCCTCTGCGAGCGGGCTTGACGCAGATGTCCAGAATGGTTATAAAACAGTGGTATTCCAGCTGTGGCTAGCCCCCCACCCCAAGCCCCAAACATCATGTATCTGCTCTCCTGTCCAGAGAACACACTTGTGTGCACACAAAGGCACCTGCTCTCATCTAGTGTAGAGACAGATATATACACACACACATACATCCTGCCCAGTACCCAGTCTTATTATAGACGCAGCTCTTAAAACACAGCAAGCATCCTTCCTTCCCACCACAGCTCCAGACACACTACACACTGTATCATAGCTCAGGGCACACACCTTGTATGTGTCCAGTGCACACGCGTACACACTGATTTGACAGAAACGTGACCGTAACTCTCAGATGTACCACAGCCGCCTGGCGCTTAAGGCTTTTGGACCAGGGAAAGGGGTCCTCCTGTCTGGATGGAGTGTTTCTGGGCACAGTGGCTCAGGAGGCCTCCAGGTGCTCCAGGCCCTCCAGTGGCCCAGCGGGTCAGGCTCCTCCTCTGGCCTGGCCAGGATGGCAGGAACTCCACGGGGTGGCCGCTTTTACTCCATGCCCATCCCTCCGCCATGAGGCCATCCACGGGGGAACGTCTTTGCACCAGGCCCAGCCGGACCCTGACTGAACTCTCTCCTTGTTTTTGTCTCCCGCCCCCGCCAGAAGGTGATGCTTCCGACGGGAGCCGCCTTCCGGTGGTTTCAGTGACGGCGGCGGGAACCCAAAGCTGCCCTCTCCGTGCAATGTCACTGCTCGTGTGGTCTCCGGCAAGGGATTCGGGCGAAGACAAACGGATGCACCCGTCTTTAGAACCAAAAATATTCTCACAGATTTCATTCCTGTTTTTATATATATATTTTTTGTTGTCGTTTTAACATCTCCACGTCCCCAGTATAAAAAGAAAAAGAAAAGAAAAAAAATTTAACTGCTTTTTCGGAAGAACAACAACAAAAAAAAGAGGTAAAGACGAATCTATAAAGTACCGAGACTTCCTGGGCAGAGAATGGACAATCAGTTTCCTTCCTGTGTCGATGTTGATGTTGTCTGTGCAGGAGATGCAGTTTTTGTGTAGAGAATGTAAATTTTCTGTAACCTTTTGAAATCTAGTTACTAATAAGCACTACTGTAATTTAGCACAGTTTAACTCCACCCTCATTTAAACTTCCTTTAATTCTTTCCGACCATGAAATAGTGCATAGTTTGCCTGGAGAATCCACTCACGTTTATAAAGAGAATGTTGATGGCGCCGTATCGAAGCCCCTGTGTATCCATCCACGCGTGTGGAGCTGCCGCGAGGAGCTCGCAGAGCGGGAGGGAGCAGCCCACTCACCCTCCCCGGGGTGGGGTGGAGGGGCAGGCCAGCCATGCCGCACCCACTCCCCAGAATGGGATCCCCCACCCCAACAGTGATGATTTTGTGAAAACGAAAGTTCTGTCGTTTATCCATCGAGATCTGGGGAGCCCATGTCTCAATATTTCTGAACCTGGCTACTTTCCTTAGAGAAAATAAGTCCCTTTTTTCTGGCCTTGCTGCTGGCAACAGAAGAAAGGGCTTCTTTGCGTGGCCCCATGCCGGTGGTGGTGGGTGCCCAGGGGCCCCCTTGCCCATGGCCAGCTTCCTGCTGATGAACATGCTGTTTGTATTGTTTTAGGAAACCAGGCTGTTTTGTGAATAAAACGAATGCATGTTTGTGTCACGAAGCACCACTGGCTTCTTGCTCTCCGGTTCTCGGGCCTGGTTTGGGGGCTGTTGCTGGGCGGGTTTGCTGGGTCCACCTTGGAAAGGAAAAAGGATGGCCCAGGGACATTTAGAGTGGGGACCTCATGGAACGTGAGGCCCTCTGGATCCAGAAGCAGGGCAAGCAGGAGCAGCCAGCCTGGCCGACAGGATGGAAATTCTCTTAATCTGGAAGTGGCTGGTACTGGAGCACCTCGCCTGCCTGATTGTGCCCACTGCCTCAGGATCTGGACCTCCACGGACCTTCACTCACCTGGTGCTACCTTCTCTGTTTACCTAAAGTCATCAAGCCTGATCAATGCAAAGCAGCCAGCGGTACTAGAGGTGGGGCCTGAGCTGCCTGTTCAGGTTCTTATTTCTTTCTTCTCAGTTGCAGGGATCTAGTGCTCCCCAGCCACTGAGGTGATTCCCCAGGGATTGGCTTTAGCCCAGGTTCATGGGGACTTGGCTGTGCCTGGCACACACACAGACACCCCCCACCATCCCCACATTACTCCCTTTCAGGCTGCTGTACTAGGGCCTAGAGGTGTCCCTGACTTTGGCTCTTGTGTGACTGTCCCCACCCCCCAGGAAGTTTGTTGGCATAAGGTTGTCTGGGACCTCCAGGGCCAGATGTCTGGGGAAGTCACCACACAGCCACATGGTCTAGGCCAGGGCAGCCTGAACAGGAAGGGGTGGCAGCTGCACGCCCCACCCCTGGACATCACAGAGGCCGGCCTGCAGGATGAGGCCTGTCATCCGCTTGACCATTTTTTCTATCCAGCTGCTCAGAGCCTTGTTGAGATGGAGCTAGACTTGAGGAAGGACTTACCGACGATGTTGGGGTCTGGCTTCAGGTGGGTAAGGGCTTTGGGGATGAGGGAAGGGGCGACTTCTGAAGCTGAGTGGGCAGTGAGGTAGGGGAAACGGGCTATCTCTGCCATTGTTCCGGGGAGGAGAAAAAGCAGCCATGTTGGGCAGGGGCTCTGACCCTCAACCCCTTCCCGGGTGTCGCAAGCTCCCTTCGAGCACCAGGAGCTCAGCAGCCTGGCCTGGCACAGCGGGGGCAGGCGGGGGCGGTGGGAGGCAGCTTTCAACTTCATCTCTGCCTGGGAAAAATTCCCTTTCATGTGGCTGCCTGTGATCTCTCCAGGCGGCTCTGCCGAAGGTGGGGGCGTCCAGCGGGGAGCAGGGGGAGGTGTTGCCGCCTGGGGCACCCTCGCCCCCTGCACAAGGCAGACCGTGGCACCTCCAGAACCTTTTGGAGGTGGGGAGGGTCCTCCCTGGGGAGTAGGGGCCGGAAGCCTGTCCAGCAGGGGGCACCTGGGCAGGAGGCCTCTGCCTGCCCCCCGCCTGGCTGCTGGCAGCACACAGGCCGCAGATGGCCTCGGCCAGCCCTCGTTGGCATGCCTACAGGTGTGGGGTGGACGGCTCTGGTGCCAGCCCCAAGGGGGGGATGCTGTGACTCAGCCGGCCTGTACCTTGTCGTGTGCCAACCCGCAGTCCAGCCGTGGCTCCTGGGCCCACCCCCCAACACAGGAGCCCTAAGCTTGTAGCCCCTCGCCTCTGCCAACTCTGGCTTCTCATGCTCTGTTTTGTGGAAGTGGTAGTCCAGCCCCTCTGGAGAAGGCTGGGCAAGGGTGGGGATAGCTGTGAGGCTAAACACATGATGAGACCTCAGTTACCTCATCTGGGAAACGGGGACAGTAAGAGTCTCTCTGCCATGAAGTTGCCTGAGGATGAGATGAGATCACTCTAGGGAAGGGCCTGGCTCCTCATAAGTACTCAGTCAATGGCAGCTGGCGCTGCTATTTTAAAACTATTATTCACCTACATCTCACCAAGATGCACCCCACCTTCCGCCCAGGGTGTGTGTCCTCCCTAAAGCCCCAGCCTCCCCACGTCTCATCTCTCCACAGGGTGACCTAGCTGCTGCCCCAGTGCTGGGCAGGCCCTGCTCCGGCATGTCCGTCTCTGCCTGTTTCTATCTGGCTCTCTGTCTTGATGGTCCCTGCTGGTCTCTGGCTCTCTTTTCCGTGTCTCTGTCTTTGTCTTGTCATCTCCAGTCTCTGAGTCTCTACGTGTCTCCTGTGTCTCTACGTCTCTGTACCTCTCTGTATCTCTTACCTCTGTCTTTCTGTTGCAGGCTCACCCCTGCTGCTCTCCGTCTGACTGAGAAGTACTGAGAGACAGGCTTCCCTGTGGAGTTGTATGTCCAATTCCCCTCCCTGGGGGTGCCCTCAGCTCCCCTCTGCTACAGTTGGGAGCTTGACCTCCTGGTGACCTGGGTCTTCACCTCAAGCACCCCGTCCCCCAACCTGGGTGGCAGGGTATGGTTCGAGAGGCTGAGAGTGAGTGCACATGGGGCTGGAGACAAACCCAGCCTCCTTGTAGCTCTGTGTGTGTGTGTGTGTGTGTGTGAGAGAGAGAGAGAGGGAGAGATGCTTCAAGGCCTTGACAACTGTGTAAGGCCTTGTGCAGCCATGTGGCTCTGTGTGACACTGTGACATGATTAAAATGGGTCTGCGACTGTGAGGTAGACTGATGTGAGGCCTCATGTCAGCAGCCCCACACTCTGGGGACATTCTGTGACATTGCATATATAATCCTGTGACATTGTTCAATCCTGTAATAGACCCAGTCTGATACTAGGTTGTACAACTGAATGTGTGACACTGGATATGCAACACTGATATTGTATGGCATGCATGACCCTGTGACAAGACACTGGGTGGTTCTCTGTGGTTTGTGTTGTGTCTGTGTGACCATTGTGGGTGTGGCCTTGAGACTGATATCAGGGATTCTGTGTGAATGTGACGCTGGCTTGTGACCATGCTGTGACCTTGTGAAGCTGCCTTTATAACCCTGGGTGTGTGCTCGTGACATTGTGTGTCAATGTGCACCTGTGATCCCCTCGATGATGCTGACATCATGCACCATGTGTTTGTCTGCAGCATTTCCTAGGTCTTTGCCCTGACAGCCGTGCAACTCTGTGGACAGAGTGAGGGCTCTGGCAACCCCTCTTACCCCCAACCTGCCCCTGAGGCCCAGTCTGGGTTGGGGAGCTGGCTTGGGGGCAGCAGGCATGGTTCCCACGGCCGCCACGGCCCCTCTCCCAGCCCCACCACCGCCGGCTTCAGCGCCACAGAATATCCTGGCAACCCCAGCTTCTTTGTTCTCTGTGGCCGCCAAAGGCTTCTCCCCACCCCAGCCTGCCGAGCGCCTGCCAAGCACCCTCTCCCCCACCGATGGCAGTGGGGTTTGTTCTGACCTAGTCCCTTGCTGCCCTTATCCCCCGACTCAAACTGGGGCCCCTGTTGCATGCCTCCAAGCCTGATTCAACATTCCAGACTGGGCCTTGGACCCCCTGCTATGAGCTTACTGTGGTCATGTTATGCAGGAAGAAGGAAGCAGGACAGCCCCTGTGGTGTATTGGGTGATTGTAGGCCAAGAACTGGGCCCTGTATGGGTACTTCCCCACGGCGCAAGGCTAGTTGGAGGCTGTCTTCAGTCTGGGATGATTTCCATTTGTTAAGTATATTTGCTCCCTTGGCTCCAGAAAGTCATCGGGATAGGGATTATCTGTTTCACAGATGACAAACTGAAGCCCAAGAGTCACATGTGACATGCCCAAGTCACAGAGCAAGATGGTAGTAGGCCACTGAACCTGGGCTCCTGGCTGTCAGACCCTTGCACTAGCCTGCTTTGGGGAGACAGGCCCCCTCCATGGATAGGAAAGAGGGCCTGGGAGTCTGAATCTGGACATATTAGTCCTCTCTTCGTGGTCACCGTGTGTCAAAGCCACAATCTGCATGTGTGTGTGTGTCCATGTGCCTTTGTGGATGACCTTGGCCAAATGCCCTTGCCTCTCTGTTCCCAGGAAAAAAGGGCAGAATAACCAGGGATTATAGGGTGGGACACTTGGCAGGGTGCTTTGCAGAGCAACAAGGTCACCTCACAGCAACAAAACACATAGTACCTCCAACAAGCACATGGGGTTGGTGGCCCAGGGGCAGATTCTGTCTTGGGTCCCCAGCCTCTATTCCCAGGTTCAGCCCAGCTCTGTGCTGTCACAAAGAAGGAGGTAGTGATGGCTGCATGACTCTGCTGCAGTCAAGGCCGCTTAGGCCTGACCTGATTGCAGCACCGGCTCCCACTCCCTCCCAGGTGCCAGAGATGGATGGATGGAGGTCACTGTGCAGCCAGCCCTGGCCCCCCATTGCCCACCCGCAGCTCTTTGCTGACAGGCACTGCTGACAACAGCCAAGGCGGGGAGGGACAGCAGCCACCAGCATGTTAATAACACAGACCTTGGCCCAGGCACCCTGTAGGCAGGTAATCGGCACAGAGAGGCCCAGCTGCCCCCAAGCTCACACAGCCCTGCAGAGAGTCCTGTCCCTGGTGGTCCACAGCTCCCCTGAGGGCCCCTTGAGGGCTCTTCCTGCCACGCTGAATTGAGAATGGCTGGGGAAGATAGAGAAGGGGTGGGAGGGTCCCACGAGGCCACCGACCCAGCTGCCAGAGCGGACACTTTCATCTCTCTTCGCCTGTCGACCTGCCATCCCTCAGTGGCATTAAATTCCCCTCCTGCCAGAGAACAAGGGCTGCCTCAGATTCCAGGCAGCAGGGCGTGAAGATGGGGTGGGTCCAGGGGAGGAGAGCAGGGTCCTCCAGGGCTCCAGGCCTGGGCTGGGGGTAGGGCTGGGGCTGGGGGCTCTGGTGGCCAGTGACCCCAGCCCTGTCCACATGCAGGACTGCTTCCTGTTGCTTTCTCTCTCCCTGACTGATGCCTCCCTCCCTTTTCAGGTGGTGCCTCCTACAAGAGCTTTCTTAACCTCTACAGGCCAGGTCTAGTGTCCCAGTGCCACCCCCATCACTGCCAATCACTCTGGGTGACACCACCTGGCTTCAGGGCTGCGGTTTGCAGCTCAGCAAGGGCGGCACTGGCACCAGAAAACCTCTGTGGGCTGAATAAACACATCTCCTCTTTCTGGACATTTTTTTCCTCTCGTGTGTTTCCAATTCTAATTGGAGTACTGTCCACAGGTGAGGGGAAACTTACTAGAAAGAGCCCCCTTTCCCCAGCCCCCTAAAACCTCCATATTCTGCCTCTATCCTTGGTTAGAGGTGCTAACAGTATCCCCCACCTCACAAGACATAGAGCTTGTTGCCCGTGTGCCAGGCATTGGGCCATCCATTGCACTTTCCAGCTTTCTTAATCCTTACAACCCTGTGAGGATGGCATTGATTTGTTATCCCCTTTTATAGATCAGGAAGCTGAGGTTCAAAGAGGTAGAGGTAGGGAGACATACAAGGTCACACAGTCCAGTTTCTCTGTTTTTAGAAGCTGACTTTAAACACCTGGTTATGCTTCAGGCTTTGGCTGGAAGAGACCCCCCTACACACCCAGTCCCTATCCCACATGCTGCCTGTGGTCCTGCCCAGATGTGGGATTAGGGTCAAGCATTACTTACTCAAACTCTTCTGTCCTTTCTGACATTTTATTTCCTTGCTTTTTGTTTTTGCAGAAAACGTATATTGCTTTTCAAGTCAGAAAACCCAATAAAGTTCTTTAACTAAACGTTCTTAAGCCCAGAAAAGGTTTGAAAACAAAGAGCACACTGGAGTGAGAGTGAGGGATGAGAGCGTAGCCCAGGATCACTGCCCACTTCCCTGGAATGACAGGGTGTGGGTATCTGGGGGGCGCAAAGTGGGTGCAGCCTGGAGGTACAAAGACCTCCATCCCTCCACCTTTCTGGCATCTTCCCACCACCCTCCCAGCCCCTCACACAGCTCTGAGCCTGCCCAGGAAGGGACACCGCCTGTAGCTGAGTTTTGGCTCTGCCGCAGTGGGATCCACAGGCAGCTGCTGGGTTCCGGGGGGAGTGGCTGCGAGGGTGAGGGCAAGGGCAGTGCCCGCTGCGCCGCCGTTGATAAGGCGACAGAGCCCTCGGGAGCCAGGACGCAGTGAAGCCATGGAAACGAGGCCGAGGTGTGAGGCTGGCTCAGCCGCTTCCCCCAGGTGGCTGCCTCCCAAGCCTGGCGGGGGCCCAGCAAGGCAGGTCCACCCACTCCCTGACCGACCTCTGGGGGCCAGGCTCGGGCAGGCAGCTGGGCAGGTCTGATGTCACCCCAGCCCACTTTCCCTAGGGCCAGGCCGGGTCAAGCCTCCTCTGAGTGGGGAGGGCTGGGGGACAGAGGGAAGGATGTTCTGAGTCCTTGGCCTCAAACCCCCCGACCCCATTCAGTTCCTCCCACCTTTTACCGCCCCCCTCCTTTACTATAAATATGTGTGTATTATTTACCTTAAGCATTTTGATAAATCATAATAGGAGAGACATCTGCTGTCAAAACTGCAAACTGCATTTGGGGCTCAGCTGGTGGCTGAGGGCTAGAGGCCGGGGGTGCAGGGACTATGATGGTCTGAAGGGGATAATCTAGACACCCCCAACCCCTCATTGAGGGCTGGGCCTTGAAGGGGTCCCAGGCCCCATCCTTTGGGACCCCTCCTCACCAGCTGCTGACCATGAAACCTTCCCAAGGAGTCTATTCCCCCCTCCCCCAACCCCCGCCACAACTGTGTCCCTCCTGCCTGCCTCCCTCTGCCTCAGAATTAATGCAGCCGTGACAGCGGCTGAGAAGTCCCCCGAGCAGAGATTAACTCCCAGGGCAGCGCGGGTGGGGTTGACCATGGGAGGCTGAGGAGTGGGGGGCTGACGCACAGGCCTCACAAGATTAATCGCCCTGCAGCCGGCCTCATCACGAGGGTGCCCAGTGCTCCGACCCCCACCCCCAGCGGGGGTGCTGGGTCCTGTGTCAGGAGCCTGCCCTGCCTCCTGCAGCCCTCATGGCTCCAATAGGTGGGAGGATTTTGGAAGCCAAGACTGAGTTCTTTTCTCATTTTCTCTTCCCTTCCTGGTGGTCCTCAGACCCTGAAGACCAAGCAGCAATCCCATGGCCTCTTTCCCTCCCCTGCTCCCTGTTTGGCTCAGCAGTCCCAGGAAGGGGAGGCCCTGACCCTTGCCGGCCTACCTACCACCTGCTGGCTCCCATGGCTCCGCTGGCCTGCCAGTTCCCCAAACAGAGCTGGGGGTGGGGGGCTCAAAAGGGGTGCTGGTTGGTAAAGCACTGGGGTCGTGGGCCTGGGTATTGGTCTTTCTTAGCCAGTCACCCACTTACAAAGTCTTTTAGGGGTTGCAGCCAGTGGGATTGAGGTTAGACATGGGAGTAAAGTCCTCCAGGCAGGGAGGACCTAATGGAGGCTGAGCTGTGGTTGGAATCTGCCTTGACTCTAAGTCTGGCTGGAGAACTCTCTTCCATGGACCCACTGTCCTGGGTGCCCCATCACAGCCTTGCTGTGATCATAACGTAAACTCTCCTGTTTACTTGCTGGTCTTCCCAGCTAGAAAATAAGCTCCAAAGGGGAGAGGATTTTCTACCTGGCACATGCTAGGTGCTTAATAATGTTGAATAAATGGATGCATTGGAGACAGAGGACATGTGGTAGCTCTCTGTGTATAATGAATTGGAGAAAGAAACTGTTGGGTCTGAGCTTGAGGATCCCAACTGCAGGGCCACAGGCTGGTGATTGCCAAGAGGGGGCCCCAAGAGAAGAGGGGGCTTGCAGCTGGATACCAGGCTCACAGGCTGTATAACCTTCTACAGGAAGCTTCCCTCTCTGGGCTTTACTTCCCAGAGATACTATGAGGGTGGAATGAGAAGTCCTCTGTGAAAGGTCCTTGTCAACTCTCAAGCCTTGTACTCCTTGGTGAACAAGAGATCTACGTGGATAGAAGGAGCCAAGAAGGCTTCTTGGAGGAGGTGTGAGTAGAGTTGAGCCTGCTTACCTAGGAGACTTGGAGACTGGGACAGTGAGGAGACCATACTGGAGGGAGCCCAGGGGACTATGGGGTCATCCTCAAGCTCCAGGATGAGTGAATGTATTTTGTCTTGGGGACAGTGGGAGCCAATGACAGTTCTGGAACCTAGGCAACCTTTGGAGGGACTTAAGTCTGGAGTGAAGACTTCAGTTAATCTGGGTATGTGGGGTAAATTCCCAACCCCATCCTGGCCCCCTGGGGCTGAGCTGGGGAGTCAGCAGGAGGACATGATCATGTTCCCTGCCATGTCCCCTTCCAAGGAAACAACATATCCTGTATTAGTAAGTGGGGGGCTAGACTTGAATAGAAATGACCTGTCAGTACTGAGGCCTTGACTACTCATTACAGGATGGGGACTCCAAGTTATAGGCCAGGCTGGTTGAAGGGCTTCAGGATCTGTTCACATCCTAGACATCTGGGCTCCACCTCTTATCCCCCAAGATCCTAGCAGAGGATCAGAGTCCTGGGCTGAGAGAGGCAAGGGCTAGGATTTCCATCCAAGCTGTAACCCCGTAGCTGGCTTTGTGATCACATGACCAAAGACACAGCCAGCCCTTCCAGTCTAGCTTTCCCAATTAGTGCAGTGGAGTACCTACCAGGATCAATCAGCCAAAGTTCTAGTCTCCTAAGAGTTCAGACCTCCAGAAGGGGCTGTAGTTTCAGGGTCCTTCACTCCAGCCCCCTCCCCCACTTCTGTGCTGGGCCCACTCCCTTCTCCTGCTCTGACACCCACACCCCCCCTCACCCCTGACCCTGTGGCCAGCAGCTTCTGCTGCTGTCATCTGTTGTCATGGGAACCAAGCAGCTCTGACCTGGCCGCACAGGCAAGAGCTGGCCCGGAGCTTCTAGCAGGGGAAGCCGAGGGTAGCAGGGGTGAGATGGAGGTACCTGTCCCTGCCAGCTTGACTGGGTGCTGATACACCCCATAGAAAGGGGGCATGGGAAAGATGACCAGGATGGGTGTGGGCTGGGTTACAGGGTTTCAGGACCTGACTACTTCCAGTCCCTGGGGTCCATGCCCTTTCCCAGGCTGGCCCCCCTATCCAAACCCGGCTCCAGGCTGGCGGTGGTAGGGAGGGGTGGCGGGGACCTTCCTTTTTCCCTCACTGCTGATGGTTGCTCAGAGCCCTGAGCTCAGCTCATTCTCAGAGGCTAAAAATACCAGAGAGGCGGCGGCAGCAGCTCCCCTGACACCCCGTCCACTGCACCCCCTCACCAGCAACACACACACACACACACACACACACACACACACACACACGCACCCAGTCGTTCGGACCAGGTCGCCGAGGGTGCACGTACCTTAACCCACTGTACGTCCATGGAGTTTCCTCAAGTACCACCCCGACATGAGACCTAAACCTGGTTCACTTCCACCCCGATCCCAATATGCTGTGTGATCTTGAGGTATACCTTTGGCTTCTCTGGGTCTTGCTTTCTCTTTTACATAGTGAGGGAGCTATAAAGAAGAGAAGACACTCAGGAGTGGAGTAGATGGTCAAGCCCTGGCTGCCCCATCTCATTTAATCACCATGGCAGTCCTGGCAGCTCTCTGAGGTCACAATCTCCCTTTTCTGGATAAGCAAACTGAGGCTGGAAGGTAAGTGTGGCTCAAGGGTGCTAATCAGACGTTTGGGTGCCAAGGTGACCCTCTCTTGTCCTGCAGTAACAAGTGGAGCTTCTGGGACCCCCAGGCATTTATTAAAAAGTAGGTCTGAAAAAAAAAAAGAAAAGAAAAGTAGGTCTGTGCCCCTACAGCAGGGCAGTGGGTAGCTCCCTCAAATCTCAAAGGAGTTCCTGGTTCTGTGAGTAAGACTGGGGTTGAGGAGTCCACACCGCCCACCCAGAGTGTGGCTGGAGTTCAGGTGAGTGTCCACACTGTCCTTTTGCCTAAAGCCTGGCCAAGGCATGGACTCACTGTCCATACTGCCTGTCTGCAGTCCTGGCTAAAGCCAAATTGAGGGTCCATGCTGCCCACAAGGAGCTGAGGTCAAGGAGAGTATCTGTACTGCCCTTTTGCCCTGGAGCTATGTATTTCCACCAGCGCTAGGCTCAGGCTTCATTTTGGGTTTCATATTTTCTCTTCCCTCCTGGAAACCAGAAGTTGTGCTCATCCACTGTGCTTTAGAGGAGGCCCACTTTCATCTCGGGACCAACGGGGAAAAGCAAGATGGGTGCCCTAGTATTTCCAGGACCCTCTGTGGAAGTCACAGCCATTGGGCACTGAGAGGCCTGGAAAACTATACCCAGATCTCCAGGACCCCTGGGAGTCCACTGCTGTGAGACCTGAGTCATTGAGTCCCACTCCTCCCATTCACCTTGTCACCCAATTCCACTGACATCCTGAGACTCACAGGGTGCACTTTCCCATAGACCCAAGATCTCAAAATGTTGGAGCTGGTGTCTGTACGACCGGGGCATGGATTTTCTGTGTGGGCCACCCAATCCTGCAGTGCAGAGAGCAGGCTTTAAGTTATACACCCTAAGTTTGCAATACCAGCTTTTCCTGTGTGACCTTGGGCAGGATACTTCATCTTTCTGGGTTTGTCCATCTGTAGAACAGGTGTTTAATAGTACCTGTCTGTAAGGTCTGATACAGGGATTAAATGAGATATTCCCATAAAGTGTCTAGCAGAGTAAGCACTCAATAATCATTCTTTTGGGGGGCTGGAAGGGAAGGGTCATGCTCTGAAGGGTTCTGGGACATCTGCTCATTCATTATTCCAGAGTCAAGAACTATGTTGGTTGCTGGGTCATAGGGCCTAAGGCCGCATCTGGGGTCCCCCCTCTGAACTAGGGGGCTCCAAAAGAGAAGTGTTGCCCATTAGTTTTATGAACATATTTTTAGCCTATAAATAGATGCTCTTAGGTAAAACATTAATAAAGTGCATCATGTTGGTGGGGAAAATTAAATGTAAATGAGATAATTAAAAATGAGGCAGGTGCCCGCTGCTTGGTGCTATTACTTCTTATTAAACGTTATGAGAGGTGGACTTGGGTGAGGTGGGAGGCTGGTTGTGGGGTTCCAATGGGGGTGGGAGCTGCAGGGGATTACCTACTGGAGTCCAGTTTGGTCTTTGAAAGAGTCGGACCTAGAGGATGCTCCTGCATGGGCTCTGGAGAGCTCTGGGGGTTCTGGGACCAGAGCCCTGGAGGTGGGTCCCTGAGTCAGTGCCTTCCCCTCACCACATGTCAAGGTTTCCTCATTTGTAAAAGAAGAGTAACAGGCCCTACCCTCACAAGACTAAGGCAGGGGTGATGTGAGATAATATCTAGAAGATACCCAGCTGAGGGCCTGGCACATAGTAGGTGTTCATTAAATATCTGTGATTACTAGTAATGTCATCACCACCATCACTGTGTCATTGTGATTGAGGCCCTCTCAGCCGCAGCCCCTGAGCTGAGGATACTATAGACAAAAGCTTCTGCTTAGGCCGCCTCTGCACACAGGGTGGGCACTGTTATCCCTGTTGTATTAGGTGAGGAAAGGAAGGCTCAGACAAGGGATCCAAGGTCACATATTCTGAGGGAGGTAGCATTGTTTACTATTCCAAGGTCTCAGAGGGGAAGCTGGAGAAACAGCACTCCCCACTCAATACTCTGCTTCCCAAATTTAACATTGATGTCTTTCTTTTTTCTGCACCTGCCCTGTGCTCCAGCCTCTGGGAAGGGTGTGAGGGCCCAGAGGTGAGTACTTCTGGAATGAGGGAGACATCCTGGGGGGCTAAGCCCCAAAGAAGTGTTTAATCACAGCAATTCTCCAGAGAATAGATAGGCCTGGGGAGGGGGTCTGAGGTCTCCCCAGGAGGTGTGATCCCTTTCAGCATGATGAGATTGGTAGAGACTGGAGGATAGGCAAGGCAGGTAGCAGGACCAGCGGGAGCAAGGCAGGGAGCCTGGAAAGCCCGCAGCCAGGCCTGTGGTGGGCTGTGGAGGGTGCACGATGAGGGGGTGGGAACACGAACACGGAGCGGGTGAGTCACCGTTTCTGGGCCAGGCAGGCGGCGGCTGCAGAGCGGGGGGCGCATTCCTAGCTGGCAGGGCGGCCGGCACTAATGTCTTTCCCACATGGCCCCGAATTCCCGGCTCGGCACGATCACACGGGCAAGACGCTCCCGAGGCCACCCCCGCCCCAGCTGCCTCCTTCCCACAGAGAGGAGAAGAGGGGAGGGAGTGTGGGCGAGGCAGGCCGAACTGGCCCCTCCTGGGGTAGGGTGGGGGTCTTTGGCATGGCTTCCCAGAGACCTGCGCCCAGGGCATCCTGTGCACCTTGAAGGAGTAGAGGCTGAATTAGTTAAAATAAGAGCAAGGTCGAGGCTGTGAAGCAGGGGAAGGAAGGAGGTCAGAATGGCCATGGGTCCTTGGCCACGTCCCCGTTTCTCTGGCCCCATTCATCCACCCCCGCTCTGTGTAAGGCCCTGGCTGAGGGGGAGCACTTTTTTTTGGGGGGCGCCTGGGCCTGATTGGCCACAGTATCATCGGCAACTTCAGTCCCCTCAGATCTAACTCCATCTTCCCCCTCCCCTCCTTCCTGACCCTTGGGCCCTGGTTGGGGTGGGGGATTATCTGAAGCTGTGGTGCATATGGCAGGGGCACTGGGGCTGGGGTTCCTGGAAGAGGCCACACCCAGTCCCTCATTCCATGGGGCGGAGGACAGCCCCAGCTCAGATGAAGGGGACTATGAGCCACAGCTCTCCCACGCAGCCCCTGTCGTTGGGCCAGGCCCCTGGGGGGAAACTGAGGCTGCGAGGGCGGCCCACCCAGAGCTCCTTGTCTGCTGGGGGAAGCTGGCGGTTGTCCCTCCCAGCTGGGCTCAGAGGCGCTAATGAGAGTTAAATGTGGGTCGTGAGTCACTTCAGGGGCGGGGGGCTGGAACCACCCCCAGATGTGGATCCTGGATGGAATGGAGGTTTGTCCAGAAGGCTCAGCCTTTCCTCCACTCCCCTGTTCTTCATCCCCTACCCCTTGGCAAGGTAGGGATGGATTCCTTAGGTAGCAGATCAGGCCCTGTCACCTGGGCCAACCTCCCCCAAACAGCTGGCTGCCTCAAGGGGAGGGAGGCTATATAACCGCAGGGGGATTCCAAATCCCAGGATGGGGTTCAGTACCCCAGGACTTGAGGATGGACCAACGCCTGGGGTTGTCTAGTGGCTATGAGCCCTGGGGTATGGTGATGTGTCTTTGGATAGGGGAGTGGGCCACCTGGAAGGATCCCCTCACCCCCTACAGCCCATCTGGCCTCACTCAGACCACCAGGCTCTGACCACACAGGGTGCCTGTCCCCCCCATCCCCCAGCCCTGACCTCAGGCCAGCACAGGAACTTCAGTTTGCCATCCTCATGGCAGGGCAGACTCTCTGGGCGTGTGTGTGTGTGTGTGTGTGTGTGTGTGTGTGTGTGTGTGTGTGTGTGTGTGTGTGTAGGCATGTGCCCCTATGACTGGGTGCCATCCTCATGGCAGGACAGGCTCTGTAAATGTGTATGTGTGTGTGTGTGTGTAGGCATGTGCCCCTATGACTGGGTGTATTTCTGCCACTGTGTGTATTTGCGATGCAATGTGCAATTGTATATATTTGTGTGTTATTGGCTGCCCTTGTGGGTCTCAGTGTTGCAGGGAACTTGAGAGGGAAATGTAGGTTCCTGCATGTCTATATCTGTGTGTCCCCTCTATGTCTCCATGGGTCTTTCTGTGTGACTGTGTTTGGGTTAGCGTAGTCCCAACCACAGGTTCTATGGCTCCTCATTGAGCATCCTGTCACCACCACCAGGAGCCTCAGGGTTAGAGATGTGGATCCGGAAGGGGGTGGCTCTCGGGGGATGCAGTGCCCGCTGTTCCGAGAATGTAATGGCCTGGCTGGGTGGGCGGCACCAGGGGTTGGGCAGGGGCATGGGCAGCCACAGGAGAGAGAGAAAGGGGGACAGGGGAGGGCCCCTGCTCAGCAGTCCCCTCCCTGCTCCCTCTGCTCCCAGCCCAGTGCCTCCTGGCAAGAGCTTATTTGCATGGTATTTACATTTCATTTGCATCGCGTTCAATTAAAAACCTGACCAGCTCCCGCCTGCCTGGCGCTGCCTGCCCAGCCTGGTGAAATCGTTGGTTGGGCATTGCCTGTCGCCTTCCCTCCCCAACCCCCCCACCCCGACACACACGGATTGACTGATGTGGGAGGGGTCCTCTATCCAGTGAGATCATCTAAGTCACCCACCCTAAGAGTGCGAGGGCTGGAAGTACAAATGGAGAAACTGAGGTCCAGAAAGAGTTGCCGGTAGCTCTATGCTAAGGGCCTGTCTTGTCAAGAGCTAGAAGAATATTAGTAATAACAGCTGCCCCTTAATGGAAGAATCTCTGTTTCAGCACCTGGATGCAATATCTCATTTGCACTTAGCTATCCCTTGAGGTCAGGCCTTGTATGATCCCCATTATACAGATAAGAAAACCAAGACTGGACAGCGCAAGCCCAAGATCTTTCAGCTGACCCAGAATTCAAATCTCTGTCAGTATGACTTCCAAGTTCACGCTCCAAACCCCGAGCATGACTGCCAAAGCACAGTGCCTTCCCTACTCCTCCTGGTGAAAGGAGCACATTAC